TAGTGCATACCCAGAAAGAGAAATGTCACATTTTGTCAGACATATGTTGCTTTTATACTCTTTTCTGTGGAGATTTATTTATTTATTATTTGTGTGTGGGGGGGTGTGTTTCTAGAAAGGGTTTCTCTGTGTGGCTTTGGAGCCTATCCTGAAATCAACCTGTAGACCAGGCTAGCTTCAAACTCATAGAGATCCACCTTCCTCTGTCTCCTGAGTGGTGGAATTAAAGGCATGTGCCACCACAACCTAGCTGAGATTTCTTGTACTTTTAATGATATATCTGTGTGGGTTATGTACACAGAGGTCAGACCAGGATGCTAGATTCCCTGGAACTGGAGTTACCCCACCTAGGAACTGAACTTATGTCCTATAGTGAAGAAATATGTACTCTGAACTGCTAAGCCATCTCTCCAGCTATTTCTTATTTACATATTCTTTCATACTGCTTTTGTTGAGTTGGTAGTACAGAAATTCAATGCCAGGCAAACACTGATGACTTCTATGCAACAAAAATTACACATAATATTTGTTTTAAATGTATGCTCTGACCAAATTGCCCTTTCACATTGAGCCTTTTGCATTCAGTTTATTGCTTTTTCTTGATATTTTGAGTTCAAAAATAAATGATAAACATGGATATAATTTCCATTTTCTAAGAATACAGCTCCAAATAACAGCACAGGAGAAAACCACTGGTTTATTGATCTGGTTAGGCATTCTTCATTCCCTGCCTGTCAAATAGTTCCCATCTATATTGTGATCAGCCTTGGCATATCAACTCTTAAATTATAAATGACCTCATGTTGAAATAGTGTTATTATGCTGTTTGCTACCAGAGCTCTTGAAGGCACAAAGACATTCATATACATATCCCATATGTGTGTGTATAAATATGCCCCTCATGTTCTTGCCCCTCTATTCAGACTCTCTCCCAGTTACAGCATGTAACTACACCAAAACAAAATTCTCCTTTGGTCTTAGGTATACTTAAGGTCTGTGTATTGGGCTGAAAGTTCCTTTGGTGAACCTAGGCCCTATGTATAAACTACAAACACCTCTGGTGAAGCCTCGGAACAGTGACTGAGCTGCAGATTCCTCTCATTGGGATGTATGATTTGATTAATATCTGAACCTCTAGAGACCTATAAAGATAGATTCCACAATGGGACAAATTTTGCAGTCTTGGGTTTTGCACATATTCTGATACACTTTTCTCTCATTCTAAAAATTATAGCAAAGATGATGCCTGTTGACTGCTTTTGCCAAATTGGTTCAATACTAGTCAAAAGTCTATCTTCCTATCAAATGTTGCAAATATGTTCTGTTTTAATCTCATTATTATGTAGGCATGCTTCAAAACATTAGAGTCCATCCTATTAATATACTGTTAACCATGTGTCCCTGAAAACAGATAATTGCAAAGGCAAAATGTGTGTATGTAATACATATATATACACACACATATATGTATTTATATATTTATATATTTATTTATATCTATTTATTTATGTATATTTATATATATCATTTATATATTATATTTATATATTTATATAATATATAATTATATGAATAATATATATAATTATTATATATATATAAATAATCTGGTGTTGCTATGGTTAATTAAACTATGTGGAATTTTTTACGTGTGTGTGTGTGTGTGTGTGTGTGTGTGTGTGTGTATAGATCAGAGGATTACTTTAGAGAGTTAGTTGTCTCCTTCCACAATGTGAGTCTCAAAGAATGAACTCATATCTGTGTAAGAAGTAGGTTTTTCCACCCGCCGCCAGTCTTGTCCCGCTGCGCACCAGCCCCAAATAACGCACAGAGACTCTGTATTTGATATTATGCTGTTGGCCAGTTACTTGTTTCTTATCGGCTAGCTCTGTCTTAAGTATTAACCCATTTCTATGTATTTTCATGTGGTCTTACCGAGAGTGGAGGAATGGCGGTTCTGTTCTCTCCAGACTCTCCATCTTGACGACTCCTTACTACTTCCTCTCTCCTCCTTGTCTCCTAGCCCTCCTCTCTTGCTTTCCTATTGGCCAACAGTGCTTTAGTCATTAACCAGTATGAGAAACATATACAGAATGACATCTCCCATCATATCTGAGTTTGTCAGTCTCGGCAGCAAGCACCTTCACCCGTTGAGCCATCTCACCAGGTCCTTGACTCTATATTTCAATTCCTCTAAGAATTCTTAGTGTCATAGGAAACCTTGTTGAAGTATATACAACATTCCAAATTTGTGAAGCATGTAATGTCATGCAGAGAGTGCCTGCTAACAGCAAAGCTTTTTTTTTTTTTTTTTTTTTTTTTTTTTTTTTCAGAACAGAAGAAGAAAAAAGCCACCATGTTTCTTTTACTGCTTTCTTCTGGTGACCATTTTGATATAGAAGCTGGCATTTTGTTCTAGGACTGAGTCATATCCAGAGCTGTGCCCTCTTCACAGTCTGTGTCCACCCTGAGTGCTTTGCAAGATGTGCATTTTTTTCTTGCCCAGTCCTGGTGAACATTATTTAGAACTCATTGTATAGCTCAATACATATTGTCTCCTCTTCCATGCTAGTCCAGTGGCCAACTTGCTGAGAAGCTCTTTTTATTGATGCTTTTCTATTAATTTTATGATGCTATGTTCCCATGAGCCTGTTATAGCTTCTAAGAAAGTGGAGTGTAGGTAATTCATGATTTATGTGTGTTGTACTGACTGTTTAAGCAAATCTAGATTATTTTAATGCATTTTAATAGTAGCCCAGTGGCTCTGTGAAATGGTGTTTTCACCATCTGCATTTCACAGATGAGGAACTCCAGGCACAGAAACTGCAAAAGTAACTACATTTTGCTACCATTGTGTAAGTTCAGATACCAATTCCAGGCTACCACAGATATGTCCAAAAGCATCTAAACCTTTGAGTCCTGCTTCTTGAGAAAGGAGATCTTACAGGTCTTTCTCTAAAGCTTTTGATTTGTTGATCTTCAGGTGTGAAATAACAGAAAGGTAGTGCCTTAATTAGGGTTTCTGTTGCTGTGAAGGAAAACCATGACCATGCTCAGTCTTATAAAGGAAAGTATTTAATTGGGTTGGCTTACAGTTTTAGAGGTTTAGTCTGTTGTTGATATTTTGCTATTTTGGCTTTTTGAGGGACCACTCAGCTCCCAAGTAAATCATACCTGTAGACTTATTCTTAGTTATGAATACCCAGTCTTACCTTGGCTTGTTTCTAGCCTGCTTTTTTTTTAAAAAAAAAAAAAAAAAATACTTAAATTAACCCATCTACTTTTTCCCTCTGGGCTTTTATCTTTCTTTTGTATATCTTACTTTTCTTCTTGCTCCCTGGCTGGGTGGCTCAGTGGCTTAGTGGCTCAGAGGCTGGGTGGCTAGCCACCCTCCCCTCCTCTCTTGTTCTCTCCTCTTCCTCATTTCTCTTATTCATAATCTTTGCCTGCCAGCCCCACCTATCCTTGATCCTGCCTCGCTATTGGCCATTCAGTCCTACATCTTGATTTGAAAGCAACAGGAAGTGAACTGAACTAGGCAAAGCTTGAGCATAGGAGAACTCATAGCCCACCCCACAGTGACATACTTCTTCCAATAAGGCCACACCTCCTAATAGTACCTCTCCCTATGGGACAAGCATTCAAACACATGAGTCTGTGGGGTTCATTCCTATTCAAACCATCACAGATAGGAGTCATAGCAGATAGCCAACATTTTCACTTCAGAGCAAGAAAATTGTGCTCCCTCAGACAGGCTCCTGACCATGGAGCTGCAGATGGGTTTTGCTAATTCATTAGAAACCCAGCTTCAGTTATTAATAGGCTATTCACAGCCAGGTGCGTATGTTTACTAATTCCTTACTAAGGTTTACTAATTCCTTCAGGAGACCCCACAGATACAAGGCAGTTATGAGTAACTCATAACTTTCTCCTAAGAAGGTGGCTCATTGGAGTCTACCTCTCTGCTTGAGCTTTGGCAAGAATGCTAATGTTCCACCCAGGGAAAGGAAAACAGGTAGCAAGGATTTGGTGTGGTCTGCTTATGTGACTGCCTTGAGAATGAATGAAGGGTGAGAAGACATAAGCTGGCTTTTTGACACCATAGGGTCCTTCAACACATTGTTCTAAAGATGAAACAATGTAAGGGATATGAGAGACTGCTGTACTGTGTACTACACTGTACTGTTCTGTAACGTGAGAGCTAGATACCCTTGTGCACATTCACGTTAAAAACCTGCACCGTTTGAACATTTTTTTTTCATGACTTAGACTTTTCATTCTTTCTGACACCACTTTGTATTCTCAGAAGAGGTTTAAAACAGACTTGCTTAGTTTCCCTAAGATTTGCTCTCTTTAATTTTGCAGCATATATAATCCCCCTTCCTCATCTCTTCCTCCTCATCCTTCCTCTCCACTGCTTTCTGGTCTTTTGAACACTGCCTCTTACACTCACATATCCAGTAGTATGCTGGCTTTATTTATTATCTGGCCACATACATGTCTTTCCAACTGTATATATGCAAAACGTTTTATCAGTAACTAAATTTAAATGTAAGATAAAAAGGAAAGAAAGAATGCTGGAAACTCTCATCTTCAGCAGTGAAAAAGTATAATTTGAACTTCGTTAAGCTGTTTAACTTCTTAAGCTGTTTAACTACTGAAGCTTCTTCTGCTAATGTCATTTAGGAGAGTAGAAATTTATGCGAGGAAAAAGGAATGCTGGTTAATTTTGAAGCACTCAAAAATATCTTTTCTCTGGCTTTATCTGATTTTACATATTTTTTAATAATTGTAAAAAATAGTGAACAAGTAAGCAATTCTCCCATAGAACTCTCCAAAAGGTATTCCAAACACCTTGCGCCTGCTGATGCTGCCTTAGAGTCAGAATGATCAGCCCATTTTTGAGTATTTGTTCACTAGTTCTTATATGTGTAGATCTGAAGGAAAGATTTGTCTCATATTTATAAAATGATGAATGTTTTTCCTACCATCTCTCTAAGGAAATGGCCAAAATCCTCAACCACCCCAGAGTCTACGCTTTTCTCCACATCCCGGTGCAGTCTGCCTCTGATAGTGTGCTCATGGACATGAAGAGAGAGTACTGTGTGGCTGACTTCAAAAGAGTTGTGGATTTTCTCAAGGAGAAGTAAGTCTGTTAGCACTTTGGAAAATAATCATTTCTTTCTGTCTTCCTGAGGTGTGTGACAGCAGGGCATTTACTACAGCCTTACAGTTAAGGTGCCCTGCAAGGGCAAGACGCCGGAAGCTCTCAAAGCCTCCAGTTTCCTTGGGGCCCTTGATGTGGTTTCTTCTCTCCTCTTCCGTGTGTGCACAAAGTACTGTTGGTTTGTGTGAGCTTGCCTGCCTTCCAAGGCAGTTCAAATTGTGATTATTTTCATACCTGACCTGCTGGCTAAATATGCCCTTCACTAGCCTTTACATCTCCTTTCATGTGGCCTTTTGAAGTTGTGAGCTGGCTTTGACTTGGAAGAAGGGACCAAGTCTGTCACTACAGAGTGGAACATTTTCTCCTGACTAGTATTTTCACAGCATCTGGAATGTCCTTGCCCGTACACACTGATCCCTATAGTTAACTTGAGTACTTGCAGTCTACTGGGAGTCTAGAGGATTCTATTTTCTTCACTTCAAATTGCTGTTGACCAAAATTAAGGCATATTTACACAATCTCAGACTTGAGTTATAATTTTGTTTCCACAGAAAAACACTTGCAGCCCATAATTATGTTCTTCAAAATCTCCCTTCCAAACATGGACTGCATTTTATGATTAGACAAGGCAGGAAACAGAGGTGCTGGCCATGGTCACCCAGACCCTCCTCAAATCTATGGCACCATCATCACCTCAAGATTGTATCATTTATCTTGGCACATTTGTGGTGTGGTTTTCTCTACTGTCCGTAATTTATGTTTTACCCCCAATGTTGTTGTTTCTATCTTGTTATTCATAATTATGTGGTCTTGTGCCACATCGATGACCTACATGGTTATGATTGCTTTATACAAATTGTAAGCAATTATTTTTTCCACCTTTAATTGCTCACTAATTTTTATGGCATGCACTGTTACAGATTTTCTCATTTCCTCTTCTCATCTTCCTTTAACATGTCTTTTAATTTTTTTCCCACCTCTAGGCATGTCTTGATTATTCTAATCACCAAGAATAAAGACATTTAGGATCCATTCAAAACAAATAGGGCTAGTTGTTTAAATATTCAAAATGAAATAGAAAGAAATAGGATTGTAAAATTCTAGCATTAAGTCTGAACAGCCTTTAAAGTAACACAGAATCAGTGCAAATCCTGTCCATCTTCTACACTCTTAGATTTTGAGTAGAACTGGCCCAAGCTAAATAATGTAGATTTTTGTGCCAAGAATTTACCATATCTTTTCCTTGCATTTGTGGTTGCTTTTGTAGGAAAACTTGTCTCATGTAATAAAGTCCTTTTATGCACTGTAACACTGAAGGAGGTTTTCCAAATAGCAAGTGAATTCCTGCATAATTTCTTACCCTCTATGTATTAAAGTGGCAGCTAAGGAGTGTGCATATTTCATACATATTATACAACATTTTACCAATGTAGACAAGCATTACCTTGTGCTGAATAGAGCAAGTTCCCTCTGTTGAGTTAATGTGATAAAGTAAGACTGAGGACTCAAGAGTTCTATTCTGCCCCAGTTTGTGTAGGTGCTGATTAAGTTGTCTGGGAAATCATTTCGCTGACCAAATCAGGCAATAGTTTCACAGCACATTCCAGCCTTTTGTGTTGCTCTGAAGATTGACCTGTTGAATATGTTGCATCTTGAACATTTCCAGCAGTCTCCATGTATAACAGCCCAATGTGAGTCACATTAAGATGATAGAAAGTCATCCCTTCCCATTTTTCATTGACTAAAGTGAGTCTTTCTCTTGTAATCTCAATTATCTGTGGCATTTTTGTAGCTTCCCAAGGTGTATTTGACTAGCTTAAGATCTTTGAACGAAGGGCACTAACAGTATCATTTCCTGTGATGTTTCCAACATCACAGACTGCAGAGATCCCTATAGAATCTAGGTACTAAGGATGCCTGGAGAATATATGCCATCCCACACATGTGCATCCATAATTTCAGTTTCAATGGCTACAAGTACGGAGTACAAAGTATGATGCTAGCCACTCTACCTCTGCAGGAGATTTTTCAATTGACTAAGCATTGTCCTCATATAACAAGGACAAAAGTAAACCTGGTATAGTGGATTTCACAGTTAATGAAGTTAAATGAAAAGTAGAATGCAGTGGAAAGCTGTATGAGAAACCCAATAAGATAACTGGGAATCCTCAGGTACCCTATAAATCATTGTCACTGTGCATAAAGCAGTCCTTGCATGATTTTAGAAAGTTCAGAACCATAAAACCAGGGAGAAGTAGCCCATCTCTACTCATGAAGGCAATGCAAAACAGCTCTGTTCTCTGGCAGAGAAACAGCTTGTCCAGCCCCTTGAGGAGACTCATTCATCCAGTGAATAATTCTGTTATTATGGGCAGTTAGCAATAGATGGAATATTTACAATGGTTAATACTCATTATATAATTCCTTACCCCATTAAAAACTTATTTTAGAAGTCCTAGGGATTATTTTAAGACTAATAATATTGGTTTGTCTAGTATTTTTTACTGTTCAGTATGCCATTTTTTTTCCTTAGAGAGCTCCACACATCCTAAATTGCGTCTAGCAGTTGATCACTAAATGGTTCTGATGTAATCTGGTGTATTTGATGTTTTCCTCTTCTCTTTACTTTATTTCCCTTTATTTATTAATTAATTTTGTTATTTGACAATAACATGCACAGAAGTGTGTTCCTTCTACTATATATCTCATTCCCGTAAAAATCTTTGGAGCCTTTTGTAATGGATCTTTAACAAATGGGAATCATTGTGGGGCTCTCAGATCTATATGCTGTGAATGAGGGATGAAGCATTTCCCAATCTGTATCCTCAAAAAGCTAACCTTTACCACAACCTACAGCATTAAGTCTCGAATCCACAGATTTAGGGAGTTTACCTTGTGGTGAAGACTCTTTGAATACAAATTTAAAGGTCTTTATTGAGCCAGCTGCTCGCACAGTGAAGTGTAGGTGAACTCTTTTTAATTAATTTTCTTTTACAGTTGAAAATGGTCCGTCTTTTAGCTCAGAACGAGCTGAATTTACCTGTGAGCCAACTTGTAGCTGATTCATTATTCTCTTCAGTTGTTTGAAAGTTGGCAGCTATTATCATAACAGCAGCTGGGTTGAAGATAACCTGGTAGGGTTGGCACATGTTGAGGCATATGGGAATTTATTAAATCATGCAGCCTTTGCAAAAAAAAGGGGGGGTGTCTAAATTACTTGATATGCTCATTTAAAACAGCTGGCCACAAGCAGAGAGTCATATGACTTGAAGTCAACTCAGATTTATTAGCCCAGCAGATGCTTTTATTTAAATGAATTGATGGTTTCTTGAAATGCATGGTGGGCTTTGTAGGAATGTGCAGAGAACTGTTAAAGCAATACAGGCAGTTCTGTTCTTTTTTTTTTTTAAGTCTGCTTTTATATTTTAATAGATGTATCATACATTTTACTTCTTAATGTATTCCTGATATTTTAAAAACTAAAATTTGAATCAATCCCTTCTTTTCTGTGGTATTTCTGGAGTATTTCCCCCAATTTGAGGGTTTTTTTTTTTTTAAACTATGTTATGTTAGGTAGTGTTCTTAGGATTCTCTGACTTTGGGGTCTGTTATAAATGGTGTTAGTTGGCTTCCCCCTCATTCCCAGCTGCGCTGGAAAAAAGCATCATACTAATCTATGCACCTACTGGATTATCTTCCTTTCCTATCATTAGTTTGAGTTACCAAGTGCCCATTACCAGAACATACTGGGGGAAAGATGAAGTGTGTTAAAATTGTGTGTTTTTCTCCCTACCTTGTCCATCTAGCTTTATTCCTAGTGGCTTAGAAAGGTAAGTGGTAATTGGATATGGTGACTCATGCCTGTAATCCCAGTGCTTGGAAGGGTGAGGTAGGAGGATGGACACAATTTCAAGACCAGCCTATTTTACAGAATGAGATCATATCTCAAAAACAGGAGGAAAGATTAAACAGAAAAAGGAAAAAAAAAAAAAAAAAAAAAAAAAAAAAAAAAAGACCTGTAAGTAGCAGTATGTGTCAGAATAAAAAATAATCAGAATAAAGAGAAATAAAAGGTACCATCTAGGGAGGAGTAGATAGTTATAGTTTCCTCCAGCTGCATTTCCAGATGTGTTGGTGTTCAGTGAATAAGCTCCTCTGAAATAATGTCCTTAGAAATGTTCTGTGGCTTTCCTGGATTATGTCATTTCTGATGTCTCTAACTAGGCTGTTATTTGGGTGTCCCTGGTGTCTTGTTCACTAGTTTATCGTTGTCATTTTGCTCATTTGCTGTACAAAGTGGTGTTCTCTTCACTTCTTTCTGTTCAGAATTTTTAACAGAGTAAGTCTATTTCATTTGAACAAGTGCCAGGTAGAAAAACACATTGACTTTGCAATGTGTGCTCCATTCACAATTGGAGAATTTTTTTATTAATTATTTATATTCCAATCCCAGTTCCCCTTTCCTCCTTGGCTCCTTCTCCCCCCACCCCCTCTACCACCCATCTGCTACCCAGAGAGGGTAAGGCCTCCCTAGGAAGTCTACTAAGTCTGTCCCATCATCTAGTTGAGGCAGGACCAAATACCTCTCCATCACCCATACCTCTGTGTCTAGGCTCAGCATGGTATCTCTCCACATAGAATGGGCTCCACTAAGTCAGTTTGTGCATTAGAGTTCGGTCTTGGACTCACTGCCAGTAGCCTCATCTATTGTCTCAGCTGCACCATCATCACCTAAATTAAGGGAGTCTAGTTCGGTCTTAAGCAGGTTCCCTATTTGTTAGATCAGAGTCAGTGATTTCTCACCAGCTCTGGTCAACTGATTCTTTGGGTTTCCCCATCATGGTCTTGACTCCTTTGTTCAATATGTTTGCTTCTCCCTCTCTTCAATTGTACTCCAGGAGCTTGGTCCAGTGGTGAGTTGTAGATTTCTGCATCTGCTTCTGAAAGAGGATCCTGGCTACTCTGGGCTTATGGATTGG